CCCTCTGTCCCTCTCTTAATCAGCCAGTCTATCCCAACCATCAGTGTGCTGTGGGCGGGTTTGTTTGTTTGTACCGCACTGTGTGCGTATGTGTGTTTGTGCCTCTTTCATGGACTATCAAAATCATCAGCAATCTCCTGCATCGTTCTTCCCCTGATTGAGCCAAAGTCGGGGCCCCTGTCTGGGATAGCTGTTTGTTTGCGTGTGTGCGTGTGCGTGTGTTTGGCTGTGTTTCCAGAACTCCATGTTCCTCAGGATCACAGATTAGCTGGTACTGTATTGTTGCTCTGTGTTTGTGTTCGGCCAGGCGCCACAACTTCAGGAAGGCTCACTGTAATCAAGGAAAGCTGTGTGTGTGCGTGTGCGTGTGGGTGGGTGTGGGCAGGCAGTTGGCCTTTTTAGACCTTAGATCACCTTTTATATCCTAATGTAAGATGTATTTCACAAGAAAAGTAACTATAAATATCGGAATTTGTTTTAAAAAAATGACTAGTGAGAATATTTAAATTCCTCTGTTTTAATTTTTCTCCTTTTGGTCTGTTTTCAAAGTAATATTCATATTCCCTCATCTTTCTGCATATTTGAAGCCCTGGCTGTTAATTAAAAACAGCCAGGGTTTGCTTTGAAAGGGTACCATCAACTAAGCTAGATGCTCGCGCCTTCACAGTACTTCAATAAAGATCTTCCAAAAAAACAAAAAGCTCTACTCCTTTAAGAGACAAAGGGTGTAGTCGGACATTCAGGTTTCACAGTGACAAAAACTGAAACAAAATAGAGAACATTTTTTTTAGCTTGTCAAAGTTCAAACATTCCAGGTAAGGCTGGATGTGAGACTCAGGTCCTACCAACACACACACACACACACACACACACACACACACACACACACACACACACACACACACACACACCTGCTGTGGTTACAGGACCTGTTTCCCTTGAGCTCTTCTTGCCTTGTTATCACTACAATCACTTTGACCTCAGAGGTAAGAACCTGCTCTACTGGCAGGACTGTGACGGCTCGATGAATCCTGAAGAGAGAAACAGTTGGCTGTTGGCTTGAGTCTGAATTAAATTCAGCCACAATACGTTAAATATGTGCACACTGCACTAAGCATCACAACAAATTATTTTCAGGATACCAAAGAAAGTTTTGGTGCTTAGAAGTTCATCTGCAAGAACAGGTGAAATGGTAAACTTCCTTGTCAGATGTTTGTGTGCGGACTCTGGTGTAGTCACAGCTACAGTGAATCTTTGGTTCAATCTGTTTTCTTCTCTTAAATAAGAGAGTCTGAGTCTAGAGCTAGTGTGAAATCTGAAAGATGTTCACATTAAAGAACAAAGAGTAATATGGAAAAAAATCCCAAAATTTTCACATATTTATTATAATAGGTGAAAATTATTTAAAGAATGCATACCAATCCTTTTGGATAATTTTTTTCTTTCTTTTCTTTTGTCTTCTGAAGCTTATTATGTTGCACAATTCATAGATTCAATATCATTTCTTAATTAATAACATAGCTTATGGATTCATTTGGAATCCATAAGTTGCCCCATATGGATTCATATGGGATGACTGTGGCTGTGTGGGTAGAGTAATCGTCTTGCGATCGTAAGGTTGTAGGTTAGATTCCAGCTTCCTCCTGCCACGTGTCGATGTGCCCTTGGGCAAGGCACTTCACCCCAAACGCCTACCTATCTGCATATCAGTGTATAAATGTGTGCTTGTTTGTGAGTGCGAATGGGTGAATGTGACTAGTGTAAAGCGCTTTGAGTGGTCAAAATGATTGCATAAAGCGCTATATAAGTTCAGTCCATTTACCACTTGGAAAAACTGTGGGGGTTAATTGTTCTGTATCTTAAAATGTTAGCATCTGCTGCTGATAAAACTAAAAAGCTGAAAAAAAAGAGTTGTTTGTTGCATTGTTGCATTCTTTTTTCCATTTGGATGGAAATAACCCTGGAGCAAATTTAAAGCAGACAACTTTATTTCAGTGATGAAAGGCAGCTGTCTAAACAGAAAATGATGACGACATCAGTTACAAAATAATTTAGCATTGAATAAGTTTGTGTTGAAGCCATGAAAAGCTAGAAGTGTTCGCCTGTCTGATTCAGCAGCTTCAATGACTTTAGTCTTTTATCTGTGTCTTTCCAGCTGATACAAATACAAGCACACAGAGCAATTTTCTTACATTAGCTCATGCAAGTTGATGCCTGGGATAATTGTGAACACCACTCCGGCTCACGTTAGCATGCAGATCCAAACACTGAAGGGGGAACTGTGCCCTTACTGCCAGCAGCGACGCAATTAGATCCACCATGCCCAGAGCTGCTTCTGCTTCTGCCTCCTCTCTCTATTTTTCTTTCTTTTTTTATTGCAGAGATTTGGAGTTGCATTAGGAGATCTTCTCTGGTTTGGGGCAGGGAAGTTGTGCAGCAGTGAATGTGCCTTAGGCTCCTGCTGCAGCTACAGAGTGACACGTTAATCACATGCATGCGAAGTGGGAGAAGTGATTGAAAAAGCTGCGTGGCGTCAAAGAGAAATGAACGAGGGTGTGAAGATGAAGCTGTCACGCCACATTCAGCAGGTTTCCATTTCCTCCTGCCTAAGGCAAGCTTCCACAGAAACACAGCGGTCAGCTCGGTTGATCCAATTGGATTTCACCTGACAGCATTTACTGATTGCTCTTATTAGGATGGTCTAAATTATAACATCTTTAATTGATTGGATATGCAGGGCTATGAAAAGTAGTTGCTGCATCACAGGTTTCTACTGTTGTTGCTGTTTCCTAAAATGTCACATCAGTTTTCTTCAAGACGTTTTCTACATCAAGGACAAACAGAAATTCAGCAGAAAGCACAACAGAATTATTAATCCTACTTCAGACTGTATCGAAAGCTATTGGTTTGGTCCAGAAACACTGAGTGCTATCATAAGTCCTAGACCAGACCATTTCATAATGCCACAGTGACTGCAGTTTTCCATCTATCTACTTTCTGTACTCGTTTAATCCATGTAGAGGCACGAATCGGTTGGTGCCCGTATCCAACAGACAAAGGTCAAGATTAAGGTTTACCCTAAGCTTAGAATACTAAACATTTTGACTTTTAAAATCAGATCTGAGAACTGGTGATCAGTTCCCTGAAAGTAACAGGATAAGCAGAACCAAAGACATTTAGATCAATGCCAAGACCATAAGACAAGGAAGGACTGGCTAGAAGCTCATGTTGAGCAGTAGAGTGAGTTGCAGAAGGGGGTTTGAGGAAACTTTAAATATTAAAGGATGCATACCAAAGAAAGTTTTCTTTGATAATTTTACTTTCAAAGAAATGTTGGATCATAATTGGAATGCATGATTCTTATATTTTTATTTTGCTGAAGGTGGAATCCCAGTGATGTACACAAAAGTTTAGTGTTTGTTTGAATAGCTCTAATGATTCAACGTTTCTGTGCTCTTGTCCTGTGTGTTTTGTGCTCATGTTACCCGCTGAGGTTTAGAGTGACAGCTCTACTTCTCTCACTGAGGTTTTAGTATGCTAAGTATGTGTTCTCTACCTGCCGTTCCGTCAATCCGTTTTTCTCTTAAGCAACATGGTTCTTTTTCTTTTGAAGTTTTTAAGTTCTGAACGGCTCCACGCCAAAGTTTGCGTGTGAGTGTGGGACAATGAAAATAGGGCGGTCGCCCGCATCACCCGGCTCGGGTTGCTATTCTCACAGGTACTACAAGCGGCGAGGAGATGTGCCTGCGAATTGAGGCAGAACAAAGAATGTTATCGGCCCTTTTTACATCATTGTCTGGCAGGTAGAGAAGTCACAGCCAAAATTTGTGTGATGTTTTGATTTTAGAGCCTGCTGAGGTTGATAAGTGGAGGCCATGGAGTTTGCCTTTTTCTCTTTTCTCTGCCCTGACGTTATTTTGCCGCCCCCTTATTAGGAATCTTTAGAGTCAAGGCTCATTACACACCGCTTTTCAAAGGTGACCTCTCTTGAATGTTTTCAGAGTTCTGATTGCATGCTCTGTGTGTCAGGCTGGTGCGGCAGTAACTTGTGGTATGTTGGCCCGCCGCATGTTTGCCTTTATGTCTTTATGGATTAGTTTCTGGCCAAAGGGCGGGTTGAAGGGGATGAGTCCATACAAACAGCAGCTATACCGTCACAAGACAGTTGTGACAGGCTGGTGTTTGTGCACACAGCTCTAATTGGCTACAGCTGAAATGCTGTATTACCAAGCCCCCATAGTTGCACAAGAGATCAACTGTTGTTGCTGCTACTTATGAATGATTTATCTATTTATGGCACTCACAACACATACCCACAGTGCATTATGCACTATTACAATGTGCTGTCTGCTCAGTTCAGTTCATTTTTATGGCTTCAAATTACAACAGGAACTTTACAGAGTGGCCCAATTTATATGCACAGGCCCAGCGGCATGGGTGTTAGCCGTGTCCCCCCGGACTGGAAGCTGTTTGTGCCAACTTTGCATGATTTTGTAAATTATGATAATTTAATGCAAAGTTAGCATTTTTAATTGACTTTCAATGCAACTTTTAGAGCAATTTTGCATTAAAAGTGTCATTATTTACCGAATGACACTTCATGACAACTGACAAACATTCATAAGGACTTCTTTGTGGTCATGACAGATGTTATGTCATGTTTATGACAGTGTCATGTGAGTCTTATGCACACCCCTTCAAATAAAGTGTTACCATTGTTTTTACCTCAGAGTGGCCAACTCTCTGTTATTCCTATATTGTTTTGATACAATAGGGACTTCTGCATTTCCCATGTCTGTGTCCTCTGTCACTTTTTTCAGCCGTTAAAACTGTTTAATCGTTGTTGACATGTCGTAACCTGTTTTTCCGAGTCGCCTTTAAACACAACATGAGCGCCAAGACGCTCACGCTGGAATTACACCTGTGCAGCAGGAGACCTGCTGCTGCTGTGCAGAGCTGCTCAGGTGTGTGTCAGAATCATGGCAGCACACCAGCAAAACGCAAAGAACTTTGCACAGTTTTTTTCCCCAGACTAACCGACTGAGTTGAGTAATGCTGTTGGATGCAGGTAATGTTAGCTAAAAGATGACTAGTTAATGGCAATACAGCACCTTAAGCTTTTTAACTAGTAGCCTGTAGGCTACTGGTGTTGTTGTTTATGTTCAAAAGTGTGTAGTATTTGTTACATTGAGTAACTTTTTTGGAAAAAAGGTACTTGTATCATATGAGTAGTTTTACTGCACTGTATCTTTGAGTAATATTATTATTGCTTCATTTTGTCCCCTAAAATAAGCCGATGCTCACCCTGCTAAACTCGTCTGGAGCCGGGGCTACATATGCAGAGCTAAGCAATCCCAGAACCAGAACACAGAGAAGCAGAATTTGGTTTCTATGCACCATAAATATGGAAGAAACTTTCAGAAAACTACTGTTAGGATGCTGAAACACTGATTTCCTTTAAGGTGAGGATAAAAACTCACCAGTTTATATCCTCAGCAAGGAAAATAAATTGGCTGCAAACACCAGAAATAGCGTCAGATGGCATGCAGCTGTTTTTTTTTTAGCTTTTTCAAGCTGCATTTCTTTCAAATTTCTTAGATATGCAGATATTTCTTGAATAACTTGGAGTTATGCTCCACAGAAACATTCTCAAATACTGAACCATAAATCGGTGAAGGTCCCTGTTTCTGTTAAAAACCTTGTTATACATTTCAAACTCATCCATTAAACCATTTGAATGCATGGATTTATTGGTGGGTGATTTTAAAAAAAAATTATTTTAAATAATGGATAAGGTCAATGACTTTTTGTCAATGAACAAATAGAAGAACAGTCAATAGTTTTGATAAGCGTTATTGGTCTATATATAACAGATTCCATGACGTGTAGGTAATGTTGAGTGAAAAAGTATATATTTTTTCTCTTCAGTCATACATTCTGTAGGACCTTTGGGATTACAAATAATGACAGAATTCAATCTGAGAAGATTATCTGATTTAATTTTGGTGCCG